AAGTGGTTTAAAGCGTTTATAATTTCTTATTATTAAATTACCCTACTCCCAGGACTGAGGCAATTAACTTTTGCCTGGGTGACACACTTTAAGTCAGGTGAGAGGATTGCATGCTTGAGCCACCTATTCATTTCGCCGCTCCATCGTTCCACCAAAGCCTTAAACCTCACTCCATTAGGTTTTGCCATTGCGTTTTTAATTAATTAATGTGCCTCCATGTGGGGCTTCGCCACTGTTTATGGTTTAAGGAGATCAAGCCAGACAAAGTATTAAAATTTAACCGGGCCATGTGTGTGTGCGTATATAATTAAAAGTGCCGTCTACCACGGGCTAAAAACTTATGCTCAGATGCTGGAAAGCTGGAAAGGAAACCGAGTCAACAACTTTCTATTTTGTCAATGAGCTGGGCTGCTCGCTTCGCTGCCAGAGTTCAGAGATTCTGTCCGACCCTCCTGTAAATGACACACTCTCTGCATATATGCAACTGGAAATAATTTTTCAATTCGCAAATGAAACTTTTGACACACACAAAAAGGAGAGCAAACTTAAAGTTTGCAATTGCTGCAGCAGCAGTAGCAGCTCTAGTTCCCCGGTGGAAAGCGGTAAACCAGAAAAGGAGGAGGACTCAGGAGGAGCGGGTCTGCCAGCTCGTCCAGCTGCAATCGTCATGTTCCCGTGCACTTCTTGGGGTTTCTGTGCCATTTCTTGCTGTGTTTCTTTTAGCCACGGCCCCAACTCCAGAAGGAAATTACAAACCAAAGTAAACGCCAGCAGCAGCCAAGGAAGTTGTTGACGCAGGACGAGCGCCGGCGCTGAGTGTCAGTGTCATATCCTGTGCCAAAAGTGCACACAGAACTTCGGCCCGAGACTCCAGACTCCGGATCCAGGGACTGGGCATCCACTGACGAAAATGTGGGAACTGTCAAATGATTTAAATTATTATTATTATTTTTATAGAATTTAGAGACTCTAAATAAAGAAAGTAATTAAATATTGTAATAATATCACCAAATAGCAATAAAGCATTTCTTAAAATTCTGTTTGGCTGAGTTTCTCTCAGTGCAGGACCAAGGGCCAGAGATGCTGCACATTACAAATGAATAATTTATGCGCGCGCTCTCTCAACGGCAGATGGATGAGGGATACGGATGTGGATGAAGCCGCTGGCTGGGAGATCCAGATGGGCGGCTGTGTGGCGTGGATAGTGGGATAGTACTGAGCGGCCCGTAGACTCAGTCACGGAGGACTGCGGCAACGTCCAATCCTGGTCAATGCCAAATGAGTTGTGGCAGCGTCTCGCTGGTGCCATAAAAGGGAAAAGGGGGCAACGGAAACCGGGCGTCGGGATAGGGGATAGGGAATGGGAAGCTGTTGCTCTGCATAAACTGAAATCTGCTTCCCCAAAACTTCGCCCCAGAAGGGCAAATTACATGGCTCTGGTGTGAAAATTATCTTCCTGGTAAGCGGCGGCAAAGAAGACGGAAGAAAGCGCAAACTCAAAAGTTATTAGAGCAAATTTTTGCCTTTTGCCTAAGTAATGGCCGAGTGCATATCTCTCAGCACATATTGAGTTATGACTTAATTGGATAAGAGCCCGGTTTGCGCAACTTTGCACTCCCATCCCGCTATCCACTCTCCCCCAGCCCACTGTACCATCAGCCTTCAAAGCCCCTCCTGTGGTACTAAGTTGGGTAGAAAGTTGAGAAAACATTTTTTCTTTTACGCCCTGAGACTCGGCTTGCGGTATGGATCTCGTAAGGCTCTGATTATGTTTCGCTAGGCTATGAGTAGCTTTTCTGGATTATCTGGACAAACGTCCTATCATTTCGATTTTAAATGCTTATTTCTATTGACGTCACTTACAATAAATGTTGCTATAATGTCGATTGCAAAAAGAAACTACAGACTTATAAATATCGGTCAATTATTATTTTTAACTTCTCTTATAGACGTCAGTTGTGATAAGGATTACTAGTGTTGCACTTAACTGCCTTTTTATATATGCGTAAATAATATAAAAAAAAAAGGAAACATTTATTTTTTCTGACATCATCTCTTTCTTTTGAAAAATGTTAGGAAACTCCCTTCTGTAAAGATATCCCCACTTAATGTAAATTTAGTATTAAAATGATAATGTATATTCCCTTGGCAGTTCATTCACTTTAAATCAAGAGTTTTGAATTAAACGTGAACGGCTTAGTCCAGCTGTATAACAATTGAAGGGTATCCCGACACACGACTGGCAAGATCAGACGAATGGGGATGAACTAAAAGTGCCCTAAATCCCTGCTGGGAGCCCAATCAAAGCGACTTTAATGCAAATGCGCTGCCATTTCCCTTTCCAGTCGATTCCGGTGACACACAAAAAACGAAAAAACACAAATGAAGGACTCAGGGATATAGGGAAACAGTGACGAACCGGCAGTGCGATTTGTGCTCATTTGTCAATGCACGGGTGATGCTGGTTCGGTGCCACTCGCCTCACGTCAATCCACATAACGTCTACGCCCCTTTGGCCACGCCGAATGCAGTTTGTAGCCCAACCCAGTTGTTGATTTTGTTTGCGGGGATTGGGTAAGGGCTGCTTGGCGTTTTGGTTGAAAACACAGAACACAAAACACAGAACAATTCCATTGTCAGTCCCAGTCAGCATCCATTTGAACATCAAACACTCTGCCCTGAGCCCGCTTTGCTGTTGGGATTTTAATTTATAATTCAGCACTCGACATGTCACCAAAGAGTTTCATCAATATGCACTCCAAAATCAACTCCACGACAACGTAAACCGATTAAGCTATTCGGTGATTGGGAGCTCCCTCCAAAGTAAGCCATAAATGTTTCAGTTGAACATGAACAGAAGAAACCTGTTTCGACAAACTCTTTGCATTTTTTGTGCAGTTTGGTTTTTAGCAAAAGCAAAAACGGAAAGGTACCTAAAAACTCGAAACCCTCTGGTCCCCCTCTTTAAGCTTTAACCTATTTTGTATTCACGGCTTGAAAAAAGGTTGTTTGTATGCTACGCGGTTGTTTTGTAATCTCACACAATGGTGAAGATTAAAGTGGCGCTAAAAAACGCATATTTAATACTAAGACGAAAAGGCTATAGGTTCCCTCTCAGCGTATTGTGAATCATAAAGAGCGCTTATCAGAATAATTACTGAGAGGAATTGAAAATGAGAGGCAATTCCCTCTCTAAATGCATTTTTGCTTTTATTATTTCTTACTCGTAATAAGCCCATCATTATTTTTACTGAAACCAGATCTCAAGCCTTCTCTCCCTAATTGTCAATTGACTCTTTACTAAAGGTGTTATAAACTTCTCAAAAAATGTAAAATTTGAATCTGCACGTAATTGGCTTTTTTAATGGAATACTAAAACAATATTAAACATTTTGGCTTGTCCCTTATAAATTTTTGTTAGGGCATAGAAAAGCCGACAATGTTTTTTAATAAAACAATACCAGTAAAATAAGAAGGCGAAATATGTGATTTTTTTTCTCTTTTCAATAAAAAATACTTACACGAGAGGCTCTTTGTAGGCACTGCTAGCATGGATCGATTTTCATTAATCTCAGGATCGCTCATCGGAGAAGTTCTTAGGTTCAACCAGTAATGACTAAACGTGATTTTTTGCTATCAAGCTTGAGCCTGCTATTTATATTCCTGCAAACTGGTGTGTAGTTTGATTTATAAAAGTGAATTTGAACTTTATTTAATATTTAAAAATTTAATATTTTAAAGCCCAAGCTGAATTCACTTGTCGCGATGGGCAGGTTATTCGTAGCTCAAGAAGATGTGATGCCCATATAGATTGTAAGGACGGCAGTGACGAGACCTTCGCTGAGTGCTATAGCCAGATCTGCCCAGAACATAAGTGCTCATATGGTGGATGCTACAACGACAGCCAGCGTTGTGATGGCAAATCAGATTGCTTTGATGGAACTGATGAACATTCCAGTATTTGCAGTGGTAATCAAAATCCTATGCACTCTGAAGGAAACGATTCAGAGCTGAGATGCCCGTAAGTCTTACTTCTATAATACTTCTTGATTTTACTAACTAATTTGTATTTGTAATAAATAGTTTCTGATTTCGACTAGCTTATATTTGTCACCAAATCAGTAGTAGATTTCCTTTGAACTCCCAAAACTATCTTTGTGTTGGTTTTAATTTAATGAGAATTTAATTAAATTACCAAATCAAAACTATAGGATATGTATACGGAAATATATTTTAGAATATATGTATGACTTATGAGAGTGCAATTAAAATATATATTTGAATTATCTTGAATATACATTTTGATGTCTACTCTATATTGATAAGCCAAGCAAAGATCTATATCTTAGGCTTACAAATTGACATTTAAATGAATAAAAATATTTTAATATGAAAATTTGCCTTTCAGAGAAAATACTGTAAAGTGTAAGTCCACATCGGAATGTCTGGATGTTCAAATTCTTTTGCGATGGCATCAAAGGATTGCCAGGATGCGAGTGATGAAACCAATGGTGACTGTCTTAATACAAAGTGTCCCAATGACACATTTCGCTGTGCCTACGGAGGTTGCTTACCCAAAGAGAAGGCCTGCGATGGGAAAATTAATTGTTGGGACAAATCAGACGAGGAACATTCTATATGCATTGATATATCTGGAAAGCAAGAGATTGGTTTTCTAAGCGAATCTCAAAATAGAACAAGTCGCACCACGACGATGATATCACGAAGTGGAATGGATACCTCTCGAATATTCAATTATATTTCGGGATGCACAGTTCCAGGAAACCTGAAGAACCTACAGGTGAAAACCCTGTTCAATGTACTGCCCTATAAGGTTGGTACACGAGTAGCAGAATCCTCTGTAGTTCAGCTGAGTTGCTCTGAAAATACAAAACTGTATGGCAGCAATTTGAATCACTGCCTCAATGGAAAGTGGCAGGGCCCTTGGCCCGATTGCATTGGCGTGTGTCATGGGAAGTCATTCACCCGGGATCCCTCAATTCGGTCCACTTGTCGTTACAATGGAGACACCAAGGATTGCAGCCTCAGAGATACCACATTGTTCGTTGGAACCACGGCAAACGTTACATGTGCTCCCAGTTACAAACCAAGGGGTCCGGTTTCCTGGCAAACTCGAACCTGCATTGAGGTTCCAAGTGCCAAATCACCAGTTTGGAGTATGGAGAGCAAAATAAATCGCCTTGAATGTATTCCCGAATGCGGCATTATATTGCCAGCTGTGAAGGATATTCCTTGGATTGTCAGCCTATTCACCAATGGCATTAACATGTCGAATTTTATCTTCAGATGTCTAGGCAACATAGTCAGTTCTTACTCGATCCTTGTCGAAAAACAATGCATTGATACTGACGATGTGATGAGATATTCCATTGTTATAGGCGAGCACAAAGTTGCCTTTAATGATTATGATGCTAGCCCATATAGGGTACGGTTTATAGAAAGCATATATAAAAGGTAAGATGGCAAAATTAAAACTTGTGGACAAGAAACTATACTTCATTAAATTATTTTTAGCCGACATAACGCCCTCTTGAGCATTGCTGATCCTTTTATATTCTCTCCATTGGTGCGACCGATTTGCATACCTCCAATTCGTCAATGGTATGCCCTATCCTCAAACTCAACAGCCTACACTTATGAAAAGCTCATCAAAATTAACTATCTCATCAACATCGAAGATGATATACGCCAAGAAATCAATCTTGTTCAACAACACAATAGATTGAACATAAGAGATATGTAAAGGAAAAATAAGAGACATAAAGGAAAAACAAATTTTATATATCCACCTTTTAAAAATCTAACATATATTATTTTTTTAGGTATTTCATTAAAATATTTAATTAAAACAAAATTAAAAAATCAAAATGTTATGAGTTTTAAAATCTCTAATGCCTCAGCTCGATCTTTCAGAATGTCAGAAATACAAAAATTTCCCAACATAAAACACTTCTTTTTATACTTGTTGTTTTTACTTTGCTGTTTGTTCGGGATTCTGGGTCTCTATAAGTAATTGAGATATTGCAATGGCCAGCAAAGCGAGTGTTACTGATAGCCTTCAGGCTCCAAGTATCGGAGTGCCAATGCAGCTGAAGCCCTGGGAGATAAATCCCTGGTCTCCAGAACGTCTGAGCAACATGTATTCCGACTGGGCGTTGCACTTCTTTAATCAACAGCGGTACTCGAATGGTCTTCGCTATTTCAATAATTCCCTGGATATGAATCCCTTCAATGTTAGCGCTCTAATGCGCCGGAGTCAGGTGAAAAGATCCATGGGTCTGGCGCCATTGGCTCTGAAGGATTGCTCCCAGGCCGAAGGTTAATTCAGTTCTATCAAAATCTTTATCTTGTTTGATTTGTATGTTTTAATGCAGATCTGTTAAGGCGCATGAAGCCACCAATCACAAATCCCAATGTCAGTGTTGAGGTCTGTGATTCTCTCTACGAGTCCAATCGACTGGAGGACTCCAAGATTAACCTTCATTGCCACCTGAGGCGCTTTAGCTCAGCTCAGAGAGTTCCTGTTGTAAAGCGTCTGAATGTGGTGAGTTTATCATCTAAAAAGTTTTTAAAACCATTATTTAGTATTGAAGAAATATTATTTATATTAATTTGTTTATTCTAAAATATGGACTTACAACTTTCCAGCTAGGTGAGAACTTTCGGGACACATTATCGGATGATACCACCATGTCGGTCCAGCGCCTGATCAATCGCATGATGAGCAGTCTGGCTAAAGCGCCCAAGGAAATGAAGGATAATTGCGATGTAGTTAGCATATTGGAAAAAGAGGTAACCTTCTTCATATAGGAAATTATACAAAAGAGTACCTAAGGCCATATTTAATTTTAGGAAGTACACGTGTCTCCGCTGGAAATAGCTAGACGAAAAAGACACTTTAAGATTTACAACCAGTCGTACTTAAACAAGTGCTGGGTGGATGTAGCATTCCTGAAAAAAGCTAAGAGATGACCCCAATGTCCAGCCCAAACATTGTCAGAAGTCTTCCGAGTATTTGGGAAAACTGATGGCCACCAATTACAAAGCGGAGCGTACCCTAACGGTTTGAATTTGACATTTTAATTATCGGTGTAAAATTCTGATAGCCATTCGCTGTCATTTTCTAGAAAATGTTGCACACACGCTGCCCCATGTACGCCCTGCATCGCCAGAAATATCCCAACGAGGCCCTCTACATAAAACAGAAGGAGGAAAATCTATTCCGCATTCAGAACCAGACGAGGCGAAATATGTTTAAGATTCTGCGCAGTATACGACTGCTCATACGAGTTGGGGAACTAGATGTGTGGAACTAGATTATATAAAATGTAATATTAACTCTGATAATTATTTACTCCACAGAAACTTACAACGTTTATTGAGGAGGTTATGGGCGATTATGTCACAATCAAGACGCATCGCGTAATGCCGTGGAAATTTGAATTCACTAATGAGGTCTACAACTATTTGGGTTTGGCCCGCATTAATGAATTCAAAATTCCCGGAAACATGACCGTCTTGCATGGAAGACAACGCCTTTTGACACTTTTCAGACTGCCAACTAATAACAATCAGGAACTGAAAAAATCAAGAACAAGCCAATCGTTTCCTCTGAACATAGCAAAATCGGCTACCAGTGATCCCAAAGCGGAGAAACACAAGTAAGTTCCCTACAGTTAACATATTTAAAAAGCTTTAACATGTTGTTTTTCCATTTAATATTTAATTTTTAAATTTTATTCGTTTTCTAGAAAACAAGTAGCCCGTCTGGAGAATCGGATGCGGTTTGCTGAATACCACATAGAACGATCCTATCTTTTACATGAACTGGCCCAACAGCATTTGAATTTCAACTCATTTGATGCGGCCTGCTCCATGGCCCGGAAGTCCTTGGAGGGTGAGTTAAAAAAAAAGGTTAGATAATTAATATAAATACCAAACTAAACGCCACAGAGGCCATCAAATGCAAGAGTATTATTTGGAGCTTTTTGGCTTTGATGGTGATATGCAAGGCCCACGCGATCCTGGGCAAGATCGAGCGAGAAAAGGAGATTCTAGCCGAGGCCTTCGAGCTGGCCAAGAAGATGAAGAACCTTGACCTGTGCCTATTCATTGACATTTGCTTGAGGGTCAATGCAGAAGAAATAGAAATGAAGCGAATGGTAACTGCCGATTTGATCTCCAAAAAGCAAAAGTTTGGCTCTAGAACGTTACAGAGTATCGATACTTTCAATGAGGATCGCAACCAAATTACCTAACAAATAGTATGCTTGAAATGGAATAATTTTCCTGAAAATACAAAATATTTTATCCCCATGACCAGTTTTTTTTCACTCACTGTCAATTAATTAATTTTAAAATCGTTGCCTTACATATAACATATAATTTTAGAAAAATTGTCCTGAAACATGAACACAAATAATTTTTATAATGCCACATCCGAAAAATGTAATATTTGGAATATGTTCACCTCTTTTGCTCAATTTTCCCTCGAGAAGAAATTAATCCCTTGGGCAAGGAAAAAGGACGAAGCTATTCGTTGAAGTTCCCCTTGCAAAAGGCGAAAACTTTAAAGTGCGATTTTCCACAGGAATTTCCGGGCAGCTAAAAGTTTATCTCAATGAAAAACCCCAAGCACATTAACGGCTGTCGGTGTTGGGCATTCAATCACTGCAAAGTGCAGCTGCAACTTGCTCTTATATATAAATAGTTTATGTTTCTTTCCGCTTCTTGTTGGAGGCGGCAACCTTTTCAGTGTAAACTTTGCACACTTGGATTTTGGATAGCGCCGGATCTAAGCCAGACTCCCCCAAAAAACTCAATCCCCCCAACCAGTTGGATTTTCTTTCACCTGATGGTGGCAGGAAGTTCCGTGCAACATCGCACAAAAGACGCAAATAAATGAAGCCATTTGTTGTGTTGTTAGCTGATTTTCGATGCAAAGGATGGCCAAACTTTCCCACCACCTGCCCTGCGAAACTGTTGGCAATTCCCATTAGTCGCTTGTCATTTAAATTTTTTCGACTTGCTTGTGACCTCGTGTGTATGGAGTGAATTTTTAAGCTCAACACGCCAATGCCATCCGGCAACTTTTCTTTGACTTTCAGTAGGTATGGTCCTGGTTCATGCTACGGAAGTGGCTCATTTAGCAACGGAAATCATTTGTCGCCCTTTGGTCAGTTGTTAAATTAACAATATTTCTCATTACATTGCCATCGGATTTTTATTTAATTAATGGGCCGAAAGAACTCTAGATTGGTATAAGACGTGATTTAAATTTGTGTTAGGATGATTGAGCTTATGTAATGTATTAATCAAAAATCTTAAAATATAGAAAATTTAACCTTAATGTATACTTACATACGAGCAATAAACTAGTTCTTACCAAATACTTAATGAAATCCCACATACTTCAGATATCATTGACCAATTGTTAGACGATCTTTATCCTTTTGAACACAATCAAAAGGCTTGAAGTTGCCACTTACAGAAAGACGAATCCTGCAAGTATTTGTTTCCCTGCCTCGAGCCTTCATTTAACTACATTAAATCCTGCTTTAAGCAACCGCAAAACAGGGGGAGAAAATGCAGCTGCATCGGGGAATGTCTTCCTTGGTCTGTGCATTGTGCTTTGTGTGTTTTATGATGCAAAATTACACAAAGCCAAATAAGAACAAAGAATGCGAAAAGTGGGCAACAAAGAAAAGCAAAGCAAAATAAAACAAAGCGAAACAAAACAGCCCGACAGCAGCCAACTAAAACTGCAACTCAACTTTGTAGACAAACCGGAGGCTGCTGCAGTTGCTGTTGCTCCCGTCGATGTTGCTGCTGTTCCTGTAATGGCAGCCGAGACATGGCATAAAAAGGCAAAAGAAATTGCTTGCAAGCAATTAAAAGCGCAGCAAGGCAAATAAATGGCCACGCCCAACGATCGACGCCCCTCTTCCTGTAATGGACTTAAGCTAAACGGAGTCGTCGCTTCGGTTTTTATGTAGTTACCAACTTGACGTACTAGCTGACTAATTAGTCATAAAATTACACGACCCAGGAGGACGAGACGGCCGCACAAAAGCCGGGCAAACACCGAAGGAAGGGATCTGACTCTGGCTCTGGTTCTCGTCCTCGCTTCCAAGTGTCCTGGCAGCCAAGTCAAAGTGCACTGAGCGGCCGGAAACAGTTGGCGCTGACGGAAATGCGTGCTCGCCCCACACACACTCATACAAACACACGAGGGCATACTCGTACCCAATCACACATCTACACTTTCGGTAAAACTGTTAGCTATAAATGTCTTTTTAAAATGAGAAATACAAAAATTAAAACTACTAAAAAATTATTCGTCATTTCTGATTTCTGTTATTTAAGCTTCTTTAAAATTATATTGATTTAAGATCTGGTATATAGTTCTCATCCAATAGCTATTTTTATGAACTCATCTGTATCTAAGAATCAGAGTCAACCGGGACCTCAGGCTTCGGGCGTTAGGTCTGCCACTAATTGCTGATTTCCCGTGCCGCTGGCAGTGGAAACGGACTCGAAAACTAGCGATGGACACGTGAACGGAATGGCGAGTGCAGCTCCGATCCAGATAGAATACATGGACAAGGGGGGAAAGTGGAGCATCTGGAATGGAAAATGGAAAATGGCCCTACTTTCACAGTCATACCCATACACACACACATATGTACAAAGAGGCATAGGGAAACCAAAGCGAGGCCGCACATTTGCCACATCACTTATTAGCTTTATTGCTTTTAACAATTTCAACTTCCACTTCCTGCAACGGCAGGGAACTAAAACGTGTGCTGATTAGTGCCACACACCAGCCCATATAGTACTACCCTTGTCTGCCAGAGGCAGCGCCATAAATTCCTGAGCTGCAGGCAAAACTGCAGCCAAAGTCAAAGGCAACCTACACGAACAAGTTGGAGCGGAGTGAGAGTTGTGGAGCTGCACTGAAAAGTGATTTGCAATATTAATATAACTCACTAAATTGCATAAATAATTAGAAGTGTTATTAAATATATTTTATTAAGAACTTCGACCTTTATTCTGAAAACATTCTCCTTTCTAGTGGTTACTATTTGATTTTTAATTCGGAAAGAAAAATAATGTGTCATTTGAAAGATATTTTATTCTCCTTTTAGGAATGTTTAAGAGTAAAACTTGAATATCTTAAAATACTTAATTCTCATCTGTTTTATGACCACTAAGTGCCTTGAATAAATATTTATGACTGATAAGGTAATCAAACTCGCTTTTCCCAAAGACAATTTTGGGGTTTTTTCTTCTTGTGTGGAAGTTAGGATTGCTGGGGGCAGACACATGCAACATTTAACATTGCAGACAATTTATAAGGACATTCATGGCACACGGCGGTGGCGATGGCGATGGCGATGCGAGGAGGCCAGGCCCATAACTTGGCACTCGGCACAATGCGAACAGCTCGTCCTGCCCTCATCCGGCCCGACCATGTGTCCTGTTTTAGTTTTCTCTTTTTTCCCCTTTCCCGTCCACAGTCCCGCACCCTTTCTTTCGCTTTCTCCCCCCGCTCGCATTGTATTTGAAATTCAACATTTAAGCCACTTATGGGCCAACTTGAACTGGCATTTCAAAGGCTGCATCGCAGCAGCTAAGGCAAAAGCAGCAGGACAATGCCGCCTGCAAAGATTTATGGCTGGCTAAAAGCGTGAGAGAGGATCTGGTGGCAATGATAAATGCCACCACGAAAACGTTTAAAATAAGGCAATAATATTTAGCATCTAATAAATGGATTAAGACAGGGACCATGCAAAGCCAATAATTCTTATCTGCATAGTGTAAATGTGGAAAAAAAAATGCAATGCCATCAATCAAGGCTGAAATGAAAAGGATAATTTTAGTTACCAAGAATGTTCAAACACTTAAAAGTTCTTTTGCGATATTTTGACAAAATACAGACGTGGATAAAAAGTTCTCAATGGCCAAACCGATAGCAGCCAATCCATTTCGATATCCCCTCGATTAAACCGAAACTAGCTCAATCTGTCAAACCGCCAGCACTTAAGTCCGCCCGGCTGGGAACTTTTATGGCTGCAGCTGTAACTACAGTTTGTGGGTTAATGCATCGAAGACAGGGCTGTCATTTTAGCCCTGGCCCAGGCAGCAACACCAACCAGGTCCCAACATCGACATGCCATTCGATTCCGGCCAAGTCTTGGGGGAGACCCTAAAAAAAGAAGGGGCGGAGTTGGCCGGAGAACATGCAAATTAGATTCGGGCGAGGTAGCAACGGGGCCAATTCCGTGTCCAGCCAAGCGACAAGGATAAGTAAGCCACCGCCCGATGCACTCGAGGATTCCCAGCCATGGTGGGGTCATTGTCTGGTCACAAAAATCCCACTGCACATGGTGAAATCTGCGGAAAATTAGATTCCACTCCCCCAAACTGAAATACCGCATATGTGCATGAAAATGGCCAGAAGAACGTGCTGCAAAATCCACTGCTTCTTTGTTGGGGGCTTGCCAACTGTATTTATGACACGTGACTAAATGAAATTATTTGCGGCGGGCAATCTTAAATCGTAATTGTGGCATCTCAGTCGGCTTTCGGAAATATTTTTGTTTCAGCCACCTCGACACGAAAAAGGTGGACAGTTCGCACACAGACCGTCCAAGGATTAAGTAAAATATTTATATATATCTTATATATATGCAAACTTGCGGGCCTTCGATTGTGGCAGAGTCAACAGAGGAATGCGCCTGTCCCTGACAGCTCAGTTCAGTCCGCCTCGGCTCGAAGTCTCGGAGTCTAGATAATAAAGTCGCTTGACAGCAAGGATGTCATATTCGTATTTCGGAATTTTCTTGGGAGGCATTGTTATCCAGCGTCAAAGAAAAAATTACCAGACATGTGGGTGGTGAATAAAGGGGACATTCAATCTGAGAAGGCCAAGTGCGTTTTTTTTTAAAAAAAAATACTTTTGGGTTCCTAAACTACCACTACGTTTTTAATAAATATGCAGGTCACATTATTATGAATACATTTTTATTTAAAACACCACTTAAGCATATACAAATTTAAGCCATTTCTCAACTATAAACGTTCGAATACTTGAAATATTTTTAATTTATATGAATCCACTTTAAAACGATATTGCTCCACCGTACTTCACATATATCCTGCGGCGTTTCTTTGTGACGTGAAACAAAAGGCGGAAAGCCTTCGCAGCCAGTGCAGCAGTAATAAACTCTGCCCAACCCACCGAAAATGCCTGTGGAACCCTGTCTACGTCCTCAAGTTTGATTTCTTTAAGAGCGAAAAGTAAATCA